ACTCATTTACAATTCAGCTTCTACACAGACTGTGGAGAGAGTGCAAGACCTTCAGTTTGAAATAACCCAGTGTTAAAACCTCAAGCCAGTTCGTCTAAGTGGGAGGGAATGGAAAGACATTATAAAAACATAATGAGGGGTTAACCCTGGCCAAAGCCTCATTTAATAGTATTTCTTAGCGTGTAACATAATAATCCAACTCAATGGGAGGCCCAACCAGACAGAGGACAGTCTCTCTGTCTAGATGAAAAGAGACTGAACTCTTATATTAGGAAAATAATATGTTAAACATGTCACATTTACCACGAAGAGGCACGGCCATCAAACAGTTCATCTGAAATTTCTTGTGGAATTAGCAGGAAGTGAGGAAATCATTAATAAATAAGTCTGTATAACTACAGAAATGCACTGTAACGGTTTGAAGGGTAATGCACACCCCCCCCCCCCCCCCCCCGCCCTTGCCAAGTAACCCCAAAGACTGCAAATAAGGGTAATCCGTGAAGTATTCAACTCCACACGATAACACAGTAATTGTCTGGCAGAGATGTAAACATTATTCATATGAATATATGTACACATCTTTTATGCTTCCTTTTATTCCCGCTTTCACTCCTGCCATGTCAGTTATATTGAAGCTGTAATCATTATTGAACCTTTAGGGCCCACTGTAATTTCCTTGCATGTTACAACAGGTTCGCTGCACGTTGTGAATTTCATCCAAGGCTGATAAAGTTCAATAATTTGACTAACCAACCATGTGTGGTATTCATTACAGAGCCAATAAACAGATTCATCAAAAAGGACATGAATCGCACATTATAAAAAGCCGATTTCATTTCCACAACCACTTCGTTACAACTGCTACTCGCAGGGACCGAAGAGAGGCAGCATGGAGGTAAAGTAGAGGGGGGGACGGGGAGAGAAGGCTGTATCCGTTAATCCCCCCCCCCAGCCATTGCAACCCTCCCACGTAAAATAACAGGCCAGTAAACAGGGCAGTTTGCAATCCAGTACAGGAGTATGACGCTGCTGTGTGTTACTGTTCCACAAAACTACGGGTTTATAAAGCTTAAAGCCACAAAAACCTGGTGAAAGTAAGCGAAGAGGCAGCAGGAGAATTGATGTTCAAAGCTGACACAGCTGACCACTGTGTAATTTATATTTGCACAAATAAACAGCCAGATGTGCAGTAACTGGTTTCTACATATTTAAAAGGAGAGGAACTGACAGGAATGCATAGATCAATGTGCTGGAGATTATTAGCAAGCCTTCATCTGTGCAAAATTACTGAACACCTGCATCTACAGTGACTTATTTTATCAGTTAATTATTAATACACATTCTCTGAAATTACACTGGCCTAAAAAGTGTTTTGATCAAGAGTATAAAAGAGATCACTGACACACCTGCACACACATACATCTGACAGTTTTAAGGTCACAGCAATACTTCAGCTAAGAGCCACAGATATGACTCACCAGACTCCATGCTGTATCACAGCCTCACTGCATGCATTCACAACCAGAATCCCGACTCCACACTGTATCACACAGCCGCACTGCATGTATTCACCGCCAGAGTCCTGACTCCACACTGTATCACAGCCTCACTGCATGCATTCAAAACCAGAATCCCGACTCCACACTGTATCACACAGCCGCACCGCATGCATTCACATCCAGAATCCTGGCTCCACACTATACCACAGCCGCACTGCATGCATCCACAACCAGAATCCTGACTCCACACTGTATCACACAGCTACCTGTATACTACATGCATTCACAATCAGAATCCTGGCTCCATACTGTATCACAGCTAAACCGTACGCACACAAAAGCAAAATCCAGACTCTTCCGTAACAGGTTCCACAGACTAAAGAACATTTACCTGATTGGTCAAAGAAGCAATGGCAGTACAATATAGCTTTGTTGTAGTAATTATGAGTAAAACAGAATTAAACACACCCTTGAAGGTTCTCAGAATGTCTAAAAATTTCATTTTTGATACCATTATAGACATTATATGATATTTATTTAACCACTGAGCTGCCCTTAAATGAGACATTACTAAACAGCATCATGTTTGTTCTATCTGCGACTTGTAACTGCTGAAAAGATGCAGCAGATTCCCGAAAAAAAACAATGAACCAGGTTTCCATGCCTGCGTCCCTGTGACCAGGAACCTCTCCCACATAACACCGATCAGAGGTAATAAATCCTGTTTAAAAAGCCAGTGCAGACCAGGGACCTTCACGTAATACCCTACAGCCATGGGTACTTCTCCTTCACAAGTCTGAAACGATTATTTGATTATTTTTATTCTATTTGCTTTGATTTTTAGTTCTACATCAAGAAAATCGGGCTACATGGAAAACTGAAACCACTTCCTAGAGATTAAAAAAAAAGAAGATTAAGACAATAAAGGGGAGTCTTTTAGCCAACTAAAGTGAGTATCAATAAGAATCCACATTTTTCCTTTTTTAAACACATTTATATAAATGGGCAGATAAAAATAAAGACAAATATAGATGCTTCCCAGCGTCCATCTATCCACGCCGCCGTGTCACGGTGTGACAGAGTGGAAATCTCCCTGGTGCACGATGTCTATTACCCCACATACATCATGTCCACAGCACAGTGGCAGCCTGCGATAGGCCCAGCTGTCACACAGAAAGTCACAGCTGACTTAAAGCTGACCCCAATGTGCCGTCTGCATCTCCGGGCATCTCGGGGACGGCGGCGAGCGAGCCGCGGCCGGCCAGCCGCCACCGCGCGTCCGCTGCACGACGGTAAATAACTTTCGGTTAGTTCTAGTGCTGCAGAACCGCTAATGGGAATGAATGGGAGACGTCAGGAGGGTGCAGGATCAATGCTCGGGTACAGGTGTAGCAGAGCATCATGGGAGTGTGCTGCACCCGCATTAAAGAAAGGATGGGGAAGCTGGGGGGGGGAGGTCATGTGACAGCTGATACCAGTCACCATTTATTTCCATTACAACAATTAAAGGTGTAACTGCATTGCTAGTTTTTGTTATAAAGGAAAGTAAACCGTCTGGCCCCATAATTTAACCTTGATGTTTGGCAAAAATAAGTACATCATTACTTGCCGAATACATAGTGCATCAATTTTTATGCAGTGTAACAAGATGGTGGTGTCTTTAATGAGACAGAAACAGCATAATTATATGCCTTTAAAAATAACTCAATATATTATAATACTTGAAGCATCCAGTCCTATTGGCAGAAATAGATTTCACCAAGAGGCTTCAGTGATGTCACAGAACTAGCGGCAATTACTATTGACATCTTGTTAATTGTTACTGAATAATTTATATTTGTTCCCCTGGACCAGAGGAAACCCTAAAGCTGGGACACGTGTCCAGCTCTCAGAACCTCTGCCTGGTTTGGGGGAAAACTGAGGGATCACAGAAAAACCCACTTGGTTCTTCTTTTTTTAACCTTACATGGATGATTAAAAAATTGCTCTGTTAATATTTTTAATTAAATAAAACAACGTAAATATGATTAACAGAAAGTCATTTAAGATAGAAAATATACCAAATACATGTATATGTACACAGAACAAACACAATCACCTATGCTTCCTTAACACGAACACGTTGCACAGCATGTCCTTTGCGTTGACGTTATACTCTATGCTTATGGAAGAGCTTGTGTGCCCCCTACTGGCAACTGTTTTCAACAAACACCACAAAGGTGCCAACAGCTCAGTTTCAATTTACTTTATTACTCAACAACTGGCCATACTGACAATTGATGGATCTGCGAAATATTAAAAGAAATGACAAAAAATAAGACATACAATATACCCAGAACATACTTCTGATGTCAGCACCCAATTTTTCTTTGTTGTAATTAACTTGGACAGGAAAAATGCATTTATTTTAAATTTGTTAATTTCCAAGTTTGAATATATATTGCCACAATTAGAAATGTACACAATAGTGTTCTCCATACTATAAATCAGTTCAACACAAATAACCTGCAAATGCAGTCTTTTAATGGCTGCTTGACTTCTGTCACTACCATTATTTCTGTTTATTGCAATGGATGCTAAAATGTGATCTCAAATAAATGTTGTAATTTACACAGATAACTTGCTCGGACAGGACAGAGAAAATGTGGTTTAAAGACCCTCGTATAATGATCCATACGGCGCTCATACAGAGCAACTCATTTTAGTTAACAATGACATCTAATTTAGCACAGTAAATAGAGCCCCATTACCAGGATTTGGAATTTCTAAGTTTACCGTGAAGAGACTGATTACAAAATTAGTGCTCTAAGGAAATAAAAAGATTTTATTACATACTGAAGGGCAACAGCACCACCCAGTGGATAAAGACTACAGGAAAACTTTATCTCTTTGCCTCTACATGGAGCAGTTTGGTTTCAAGTATTTTGCATTTTGAGTACTATTAGTTAGTCTGGTATATTTAACTGAACTCCTTTTCCTAACAATATTTTCAAAACATTCGCATGTGTCATAAGCACTTCTCTACCATTCCTCTGTATTGGAAAGATAACCGTGTTTAATAATTGTGTTTCTGTAGTAGGATTTTAAACTGCTTCACCTGAATTTTTGAAAATGTATCCAACCCAATGCAATGTCACGTATTCTTGTTTACGTCAATTATTTTTGTAAATCCGCTGTGCAGCTTTGGGGTCTGAGAGCAGTACTGTATTATCAGCCTAACATGTCTCTTACAATTTTGTACATCCATCCATTTTCAGTATTTGCCTGTCGGAGAACCAGTCCTTCGGTCATGCATAGATATTTATAATAAGAACCTTTTAGTGTGAATATGCCAGATGAAGAGGGGGAAGGCAGTGGAAACCCATAAAGACATGGGGAGAACAAGCTAACTCTGGCCAAACAGAGCCTGGGGAGGAATGTGAAGCCCAGCCCTGAGGTTTGGGAAGACACTGACCCTCTGAGTTCCAGAGGTGATGAAACAGAGACCATATGAACACTCACCAATGCCTGAGTTGGCTCCAGTGATGACCACCACTTTATCGGAGAGGTCGCGACCCTGTAGGATCTCCAAGGCTGCAGTGTTGCCATCGTACCTCTTGGGCTTCACCTGAACATCTTCCACGGTGAAGGCCTGGCGGGGGTCGAAGTAAGTGGTCCGTTTGTTGATGTGGCTGAAGGGGGGAGACAAAGTAATGTTAGCGAGTAGCATTTTTGTGGTGAGAAGGCTATTGGCAAATTAGCAGGAAATGCACAGAAAAAGAGCATCTGTAAATCGTACTGTGGGGGAAATCTGGTTATCATACAGGGTAGAGTGTTTTGTAAAAGTCCGGTATTTTAGGGGACTGAGCAGAGACAAACTAAGAGGTACTTGCTATCAATTAAACTGGCAGCAGTCTATACTGCAGAATGGATGGAAAGCATTATTCCAGTTAAATTAATTATACACTCAACTACTCGACTTTTGCTGACCTGCAACATTTACAAGGCATCTATATGCATTTACATACAAAATGCTTTTACCTTAAATATGCATAGATCAGCAGGTGATTAAAGTTTTATTAGGAATATACAATTCTAATCTATACTCCCTCGGACCCCAATAAAAATTGCTGAGTGATGCTTGATTTAACACTTAAACGTTACTCCAAATCTTAAACCCTTCATTTAAGACTTGGCAAACAGTCACTCACTCGACATAGAAAATTTGTCCTTTCTCATCCGTTTCCTGCTCCCAGCCATATGGTAAAGCTGTAAAATAGAAGGTTTTGAGTAACCGTTAGAAAATGTGAAGTGTGAACCACAAAATCAGACATAGGTGTAGTACTACACAACACATTGACTAATGATGAATGTCATACTATTGTCAGTCAGCAGGAGGCAGACTTTGGCAATGAATTCTGCTTGGTTTCGTTGCTGTGGAGACTGACTGCCAGCCCTGTACCTGTTAAACAGCTGGCAATTATAAGACTTTCAGAATTCCAGCCAGCTGGTAGTAAATCTGTAAAATATAAGGATCACATAGAGCAAGGTAGTCGTCTTTTCTTTTACGTTCAATTCTTTTGAGCTGCCATTTCCTTTTCCATACAAATCCAATCTGTTAGTTTGTGTATCATCCATAAAGTTTTGATACGGCTATCAGAACATCATCCCTGCAACATAATGTCTTATATTCAAACATTTCACAGAACTGCGGTTCCCACAGTCTCTGTAGTATAACAAAAAACTTGGTCTGATTCAATCAAATATTGATCGTGACACAACCTCACACTATGTGTTGTATTCACCCAGCGGGCAGGAAGGCAGCGAAGCCGTGAAGTCAGGAATAGGGGTTTATTGGCACGGACAGGGCAGACAGCGACAAACGTCAATGACGGGTCTGGGGAAACTACCTCAGACGCGGACTAAATACACAGGACAGGCTGAACATAACAGGCAACAGGTGATTACAATCAGGAATTAACACGAGGTAACGAGGGGGGCGTGGCACACAGGAGGATCGAACGAGCAGGTCATAACACTATGTCAATGAACAAACGCCAAAACATTTTTGAAATTCATTTGAAAGTCTAAGGAGACTTTGCTTTTGTGCGAGTTGTACAGGGCACAGGACACACTGTGGGGTGGTTTAATAACTCAAACTGTTAATAAACTTCATTTTCATGGGACGCCGTCTGGTTTCCAGTGCAGCAAATTTAACGGGATTTCTTTTTTATTTAAATAACGTATCAGCAACTATATGAACATTTTGAGTAAATATTCACAATGACAGAAAATATAGTATGCATATTCCCTTTGCATCAATGAAAGTTTTATAACAATGCTACACTTTCATTTAGACAGTATGGTTTAAGAACTGGACTATCACCAGCTAGGGACCACATTCTGTCAGAAATGTTTAAGATATGTATCAAAACTGTACACAGAAAATGCATGACACTATACTGTGAGGAAAAGCTTTCCTTTGCTCTTTCTGGTTCTTTGTGATTTCTTGTGAGAAGACCGTGATCTCATTCGATAACAAATAGGTGAAACAGATGAGGCAACAAAGCAGCCAAAGATAAATACTATTAGTAAACCAATCAAACCTTTCTAACTACACCTGTGTGTGGGAAGGTCTGCATCGCGCACAATGTGTATGGAGATGTTTATCCGCTTCGAATTGAAATAGCCAGACTTACAATGGGCAGAACTAAATGGGGTATGTGATAGCTTACACTGAAAGCCTCATTTTCATTCCTTTTATATTTTTGATTTTGTAAACACTTTACATTTTTTCCAAGTTATTTGGAACTGTGGTTAAAATTTCGAAAGCAAGAGAGTGGATTGCAAGAGAGGTAAGATGTATCAAATAACATTCAACAGAAGTCCTACAAAAAATGTGCATAATTAGTAAAATGAGTTTAAATGATGAATGGATCTTCTGTTCATGTTTGCTGATCACCCAGGTGATCAGCAAAGAAAAAGACAATGTCCTGATCTATCTAATATTGTTATTCTTTTCCAGACTGAATCGTTGAGTTTTCTTGGCCATTTATTTAACTTTATTCTAGTACATCAATGTGTATTTCTAAGCAAGTTATTGGACCTATTCAGTCTACCTATTCAAGTCTAATTAGCCACTACTCCCCCAAATCATGTGGTGCAATGATATTGTAATTCCATTTGTTAAGAACTAAGAAAATGTACAGTATGTGTAGGGATGAAGGAGCGATGTCAGGCTCTCTGGAGTATGTGGTACAAAATAATACCATGTAATCAAACAACAAATTAGTAGAAAAAATAAATAATGAGACCACTCCCACCTCCCAACTTCTGAAACGTTTTCATTTTTAATCACAGGAAATGATGCAGGGCACTCCAAGATCAATAAAATCAATAAATATCAATAGAATAAAAGGTGCCTTCCTTGTGTTATCGGCTTATAGATATATGAGAAATGCTAATACTTAGAATGAGCCCAGGCATATAGTCCTACCTCCAGCACAGCGTCTCTTCTTCCCCGTCTTAGGGTGCTCCCATTGCGTCTTCATTTCTTCATGACTAAAAAAGGAATACAATATCATCATGTCCAACGTTACTAAAAGATTACCATTTATTATCGAAAGTGTAATACAGCTTGACTACTCAAATAAAACGTGCAGGGCTGCAACCACTCTCTATTTACACGCTGTGATTATATACATATAGTTAATTGTCGGGTCATCGAAGCTTTCTGGGATGCTATGTGACTGGGTAATTCTTTCTGAACGACATACTTTCTAGTTTATGGTATGTAAGGTGAGTAAACTGTAACTTCTATATGAAGATATTTCTGCTACCGTATGCCTGGTGATTGTGACTGTCACGAAAACAAGAATCGATATGGTCCTCAGCTATACGGAAAAATACTTAATATCATGTGAGTAAATTTTATTTCTCTCTTACTTTGCATAGTACACCCATCCATCCTTTGTAGTTCTCTCTTCCCATCCAGGTGGTAACTCGTCTTCACTGTCAGTGTCATCCAAACCTGCATATTTAAGAGCTGCCATTAAGCTTTATTGTGGGAAATTTGTTACCTCGAGTGAATGTATTTGTGTTTCCTTTTGCTCAGTTCTTTTTTTTTTTGCTACCGCAAAAAAAAAAGCTGTCACGACATAAAATTCACGTCCAGCCGGTGTTTTCTGCTTATGTTGACTGGTTCTAAAACATGCTTCCGGAACTATATAAACGCTCCCAGCGAAGGAGATTGTGGGAAATGAAGTCATTGAGTAGTAGACCCCGAGCTTCACGAAGTTAGGCATCTGACCAGATTGACTATAATATATCCTTTAACTAGAAACATAACATATTATCCACAAGTGGTTTACAACTGCTATATACTTTTAAAAACTTATGTGTAAAATGCAGAACTAAATTGATTTTTGACTCGTACCACCGGTACATCGATTACTCTGTGTTTGACTGAAGATGAGTTCACAACTGTCAGCTTCGCAGCAAGCACCTCCCCTTCCGAAAAGTCACTAATAACTTCCGTTTCCACATAGCAACGGAGACGCCGCAAGGGAAAGGATTGCCAAGTGAAACATGGTAACGTGTTAGCGAAATCCATTTTAAACTCTAGTGGAAGTTATGCCTTTTCAGTCAGTTTCAGTTAACTCTGTTAAACAAATGTCGACATAACGTGCATATCTCATAAGTAGAGTTTGGTTGAATGTATGCTTTACATGATGTAACCTAATTACTTTGCAGACAGAAGTTGAGGAGACCCTGAAGAGAATAGAGTCACGCAAAGGTGTAATTGGAACGATTGTTGTAAATGCCGAAGGTAAAATTAAATTAGTAACCATTAAGTTTCACCAAGATCCTTTTATTCATTGTGTGAGTTATTTTTTGTAGAATAACCGATGGCGTCCTTCCTGTGCTTTTTAAACAGCTTTAAATGAATCAGGTTTTATGTGTAATAGATTTCTTTCCAGACTGTTATAGATGATTCTGATATGGGTATTCATACCTATAACCTTGGGCTCTTCGGTCAGGTATCCCAATCAGAACTACTCTGGACAACTCCACCACTGTTCAGTATGTAGGACTGTTGCATCATCTTGCCATGAAGGCCAGAAACACAGTCAGGGAGCTTGACCCCCAGAATGATTTGACATTCCTTCGTGTCCGATCAAGGAAACACGAGATCATGGTGGCGCCAGGTAGGAATCACAGCAGCGACAGCTAACCTTTGTACTTGCTATGTGAAACGTACTTAGGACAAAGATTGACGGGCCAGGTCAAGGTGAAGTTTGGTCTCTAAGAAACTTGCTCAACAGGGGGTTCTTTGGTTAAATTTGGCAACTGCCAAACAAAGTGTTTGCCAGTAATTGAAAAGGGGCACTGAAGACCTCAAAGTGCCCCCCTACCCATATCCATGGAGACAGCACAACATTGGAGGAGCAGTAAGGTTCACCCCCCCTTGAGATTCCATATCCATTATACAGTTTAGAGACACACAGGGCATGATAAACATTTCACATATTTCACATTAACCTGATCAGCCACAAAAGCCTTCATGCAATTTCAACAACATTTATTCTGAATTCACCTTAATCTCTATATACTGTACATATGTACTCAGCTGAACTCAGCTGTACTCAAGATGAGTGGAGACTAAGAACCACAGGCTAACAGCTTCTTCTTTGCTCATGCAGCAAGAACATTTGTGCTTCAGCACAGAAGCCAGTATTTCAGTATCTCCTCTGTATGTCTGAAGTGCTGCTGAACCTGCCTACATCCATATGTTATACTATATTTCCTGTTATAAAGCAGACTACCTCGGTTTCTGCTGGATGAATCTGTGGCCAATGCTCTGTTCATATTCCATTCATAACTGGTCTTCTTTGCTCTCTTTCAGATAAGGATTATTTATTAATTGTGATCCAGAGCTCAGGTGACTAGCTCCTAACTCCAGTGGTTTTTACTGCAACGTTCTCCAAACCCTCCACTGCCTGCTCCCTGTATTCAGTCAGACCTCTCCGCCTTATAATGTACCAGGGAAACATGTCTGCTTTTATGCCATTTGGCCTCATTTCAAGAAAGCATGTAAAATACACTGAATTCGAGGACTTTTCCTGCCATGCTAAGCTTTTTCAGACTAGCATAATTTCTGTTGCATTGATTAGCTGCTATATATTCTAAAGCTTTAGTAGATTGATACTTATGTCTTATGCTAGTTTTTGTTGTTACATATCCAGTGTAGTGCATCTGGTTGGTTGTTGAGCTGTCTAATCCACCTGGATATATGAAGTATTAATAATAAACACTAAACAGAAGCAGCATCTACAATTAACTTGCTCTTTACTTTCACTACAGTTTCATGTGTGATTTCCTCTGGTATTAATTTCAGCATCTGCTGTATGCATCTCTTGATTTTATCTTGAATTTTGTTTAAGAGTGGGAGAAGTGAAAGCATTTCAGGTGAAACTACACTGTGCAATAGTATGAATTAAAAGGACTTTAAGTATTGCTTTATTAGAATGATCCTCAATTAACCTCAGTTCTGTGAAATGCTTGAATTCATCACAGTCTGTATTATGGGAAGACCCAAATATTGTATAGCATATTCTAAAACATTTTATTGGATTTCTAAGAAATCTGCTGCCTGCACAAGTCTAACTTTTATACTGATTTACAGTCTCACTATTGTTCTTGTAGTGAGTGTCACATTTCTCAAGCACTAGGACAATAGCATGACCTCCAAAGTACCAGCTAAAGGCCCTGGGCATCTTTTGAATGAAGAGGGGATAGCATCCCAACGTCCTGGCTAAACCTGCTCACTATGGCCCTTTCAGACCTGGCCTCCTAATCATCCCCTATATCTCCACCAGCTTAACTACTGTGTGGTGAGCGAACTGGTGCAGAACAGCTGCCGTCGTGTCATCCAGGCAGGTGCTACATAGTGCTGGTGCTCAAAGTGGCTCCCAATTGGTTCTATAAAGCTCTTTGGGTGTCTGGAAAAGCACTATATGAAGGTAGCATTCATTCATTCATTCATTCATTCACTCCTCACAAATCTCAGAGTTTGAAGTAACTAATTCACTAACTGGAGACTGAGTAGATAAGACTGAGTCTTGCATTCCAGTGAAGTTCACAGGTGTTTATTGTTTGCCTGTTGGCTTTGCTAATGCCCCCAATGACGACAGGATCGAGTTCATGTGTTAGCTTACTCCTTCTGAAGTGCACCTTAAGAGCAGAGCTTCTGTCTGTGGGAATCTTCAGGGTCATGCAGGCCTCACTGCTTGGATCTGCTGTAAGGACCATAGACCAAATCCACATAGCTCTGGAAAAGCTGTGAGGCACAATTTACAGTATGCTGTCAAGTCCCTTTGTGTTGGAGCAGTGAACATCAGCCCACAAACAAAACTGACATTTCGTATTCAAGCATCTAAATCTCTTTCAGAAAAAGTTGTGAACACAATGGCACAGTAACATGATTTTAGCAGGTTTTGAAAAGATTTGAGTGCCTGTCACAAGCTGCATCTTTTTTTATAAAAAAAAAAACACTTCAACATCCGTTCCGTTCACATGATTGAAATATTGTTAAATTCTCATCAAAGATATTGGTTCTAATAGTTCCGTCAGTTCTGTGTTACTCTGCTCTGTAGACATTGCAGAAGATTTACACCTATCTGCAGATGACACGTTTGTCCTCATGTTCCTCAAACTCTCTCCATCTAAAAAGATAATTGAACTGAGAGGTTTGTGGGTTAAGTGCAGTAACCCCTACAGCTCCCTAAAATGCCTCCTGTCTCTGCCATCAGATGAAATCATCACCACTATCTGATATGATAAAAATGATCCCCGGACTGGTATCCCTTTTCTCCCTGTGTCTTCCACCTCAAAGGGAAAGAAGAAATAGCACAACGGCAGAGGAGGAGACTGAAGGGAATAGGCGACCAGCGAAGGTCTGTGTTTGTGTGTCTTCAGCACAGAAACGCATCATGATCGTCCCATTCGGGGCCTGACAGATGTCAGAGACGGCTGATCATTTGTTTGTGTAAAGTGGCATAATCTGTGTGACCCGCACATGTCCTGTTACAGAACAGCGTGTACTAACCTTGACAAAAATAGTACTATGAAAAAGAAAAAAACAGAATTGCTATTTACCAAGTGTATACTTACTATTAATGAAATCTAATGTTGCACAACTGTCCTGAACTTTCAACCAGCAAATGCATGTACAGGGTCTATTTGGTGACACTGACATCATTATTTTACATCTGGAAAAAAGTCTAGAGCAATCAAATAGTGACTACGCTCCAGTGCACAGACAGGAAGCATGGGTGGTCACGTTGTGCGGTCTGAAAACAACAGCCGAACACTGTCGTGAGGTGTTTGGAAGCTGTGTCGCTAAGTGTAAAAACAGCAGACACATTTTTTTAGTTATTTTAGCTCCAAAAATGTGGCTGCCGTGTAACATATTTGACATTTAGTATTAATCCCTTCAATAATACAGGTAAATCTCATCAACAAACAATTTATGGTGGTGCAATTAATACAGCACAGAACTGTTTGCAGTGATTTTGTGCTTCCATGTTACTCCAGTTATTAAAGTTATAAGGCTACAGATTCAAAACTTAGAAATGGGTGAATTTTGATTGGAAAGTAACTAGACACTTAATGGACAGTACTAATCAAGGAAATTGAAATGATTCTTCAGCTGACATTAATTTTTTTCAATTTATGCCTAATCCTGTTAGCTACTGTAAGTGGCTGCTGATTTAAAACTTGGAGAAAAAAAACATTTTCTTACTAGAAGTTTGAGTGTAAATTAATTGCTGATGTTTGTTATCACTGGCAGTTAGCTGGATGATAGCTTTTAGATTCATAATCGTACCACTTCCTGGAGCCCCGTAATAATATCGTGAAGACCCTGCTGGAGGATGGATGGATGGATGGATGGATGCTATCTGTTGTTGGCAGTGTTTAATGGAAGTTAAAAGGCTGCTTCTCTTGAATGCAGTCATCTTTCTGCAACGCAGAGAGGGAATATATCTAGAACAAATGGCTGAGGCTGAAGATAGCTACAGCCTCTCCTTTTTAATTGGCACATAGCAGGAAACCACAGAGGGACTCACTGAATTCTGTAACCCACTAGCTGTGCTGAGGCTGTACAAATGTTATCAGATATATTAAAAAAACTGCTGCTAATATCTGGAGTAGACAAATCCTAATAATTACTCAGAAACCAAAATACATTATACTAATGTATAATTCAAAATGAATTCATGAAAGACGTGAGATTGATAAGTACTCCATGTATAAGTACAAATTAGTTAAATAAGTTAAAGCTACAGTGATCAGAAATGTATTATAAGAAGTAAGAAATGACTCTTGCTTGTGCTTTACGTGTGGGGATCATTGCTATTCTTCGTATTACTGGATGGGTAAGACACAACAAGCCCCGATTATATTTTGTAAGCTCTGATTAATTTCCTTCCGGCAGCGTTCCTCATTTTACTCAGTGTGATTACAAGTGCCCGCGTTCTGTCTAGTCCGCGACGCAAGCCGTCTCGGAGGTGCCTTCTGAGTGCACCAGCTTGTCAGCTGATAGCTCATGTTTACCTTTGAACACAAACTATTCTGTATAGTTTCTTAGCCATATGTCCCTTTGCTCATAATAAGTGGCCGTTTCCCATTGTTTACCTAGAACTGCAGGCACCAGCCTGTTCTTATTAAAAATACAAAAGCAGGAGTCAATCTGAGAAGCTACCAATTGGTGGAAAGCGGTTCCTAGTCACATCAACACCAAGACATTAAATAGCAGGCCTGTGAGTGCTGGTACAGCACATCGGCACAGAAAATGGCTCACCCTTGATGTTGTAGGCAATGGTAAATGCAATATTCATTACCTTTTCTATTCATCACCTTGTGTAATTCATGCATTAAAAAGAAAATGCTTCTTAGCTGCTCTGTAACCACTTGGGAAATGGGATCAAGGTGCTCCCCAGAGCACATGTGCGTGTGAAGCGAAACGCAACTGTGCTATAGTCTGCTAACAGGGACCACAGCTCGCCCCACTTTTATGAGACGTTCCAGCGAAAACCTACTTGAAAAGCGGAATACATCAATGGTGCATAAGCACATTAGTATGACCTGAGGGTTGGAAATAGGGTTGTTGGTGCTTTTTGGTTGTTCTTATATGAAAAGTTTTACACTCCTAGAAAAACGTGCTCTTTGTTTACTGTGAGGATGGACCATGTAGAGCATCATTATATTCTGAACAACGGGTAGCAAAATCCAGCGTAAACACATGAATAGTGTTGGGTGTTTTGCCCCATTTCCATAAGGTCTTGCCAACCATTAATTCTTAGATAATTATACAGGATGCAGAACTTCATTTGTTTTTCATTGTGGATGTTTTAGCAGTGTGTCCAATTGCTTTATGATTTTGTTTTAAATATTTTATATATTTAAAACTATCAGTTTTCAATGGTGATTTCCATTAAATGTATTGCAGTGGTCCTCAATCACTCTCTTAAGAGTTCGTGGTTTTGTAGTAAATTCAGCAGGAATGAGTAGCGCCAAAGTGAATATATAGATAGATATACATACACATATACTGGAGGTACACATATAGGTAGATATACATACACATATACTGGAGATACACATATAGACAGATATACATACACATATACTGGAGATACACATATAGGTAGATATACATACACATATACTGGAGATACACATATAGGTAGATATACATACACATATACTGGAGATACACATATAGGTAGATATACATGCACATATACTGGAGGTACACATATAGACAGATATACATACACATATACTGGAGATACACATATA